CCCCCCCCCTTTTTTTTTTTTTTTTCTTTTCAGGAAACCTTTGAAAGAAAACTACGCATGACCTTAATTTTCAACCTTCACCCCCTCTTAAAAATACTTTTTAAAAAAGTATATAACCCAGCCCACTATTATCCCAACGTGTAACAATTACCGGAGATACCACAGAAACCCCTCCTTTTTTAAAAAAACAAACAAACAACCCACATGTAATAGTTAATATTATCACACAGGTTCTGATCAGTACCATTTTAAACGGGAGGAATAAACAAGTGCTAGTCCATTCCACTAAGCCATCCTGACTCACACACATCCAGGTAGGTGGTAACCTGAAATTTAAGATGTGTGCAAAGCAAATGCTAAGAGTAGGAACCTGAAACCAGCATAGATCACAAATGTATAGTTTTTTATTTTATCACTTCCTCTGCCACCTAAAATTACAGTTTGCTTTTTTTTTTTTTTACACTAAAGCACCTAAAATATGTACAACCATCTTCTAATAAAATAACAGTTAAATATAGAAAATAAGATTTTTCTCATAAAATATGTTTTCTGTATGTACAGGTTTTATCAAAGAGGACTAAGTTCAACAGAGAACATTTTTCCATCATCAACCATCAGCAAGAAAACAACCTTTCTGAAATAAAACTATGTACAAATAGGCAGAACAACATCTGTTTAATGTCAACCAATGCAACAATAATAATGAAGTCAATGTTTGAAGCCCAAATGATATACTCTCTTAAGAAACGTTCATTTCTTTTTGTCCTTTATGAATAACGTCTTTGGTTATTGTTGTTCTATTATCTTCTTGGCTGCACGATAAAACAGCACCCAATTAATGTTACAGAGCCAGGCATATATATGTGTATATTTATTTATATACACTACGTTTAACACAGATACCTGTCCAGTTGTTGCTAGAAAAGTTCCGTTGTAGATTCTTGAATATAGAGCTGCTCTTCAGAATCAAGCCCACAAGTTTCTCCTATATTTCACTGTGTTCTTCAAGCAGAACTCTCACCAACTTAAATTATCACTTTGATTAAACACTCAGGTTTTATTTCCCCACCATTACGAGGGGAATCTGAAAACATCTTTCCATTTTGCCGTGTAGCAGAAAGGTCCTTACAAGTTCAAAACGACACAAGTTTAGAAGAGAAAAGAGTAGGTTTTGCTGGGTTTTTCTAACACAGTGTCCTAAAAACCCAACCCAGGTTAACCCTCACGAAAGCCTCCGCTTCGCAAACCACCGAGACATGCACAACCTGCAGAATGTATTATCAGTGGATCTGGTTGGCAGCTGAACACCTGGGCTGCTGAGCCCGGGCTGCACGGCCCCTGCACGAGGAACACGTCACAGCACAGGCAGGAACTGATGGGGAGCGTGCTGGCTGGCAGTCTGGGAAAGGTGGCTGCTGCCTGACCTCCTGAAATTCACCGGTACAGAAATTGAGAACATCACCCCTTAAGCAGCAGAGGGAGTGAAATTCCACCCACTGGTCAAAACCAACTAAAGAAAAGCCTCTGGAGTAACCCCCAAAACCACTAGACCAACCACATGCGCAGGAACGTCACTAATCTGAAACTGAGAAGTGATTCCCATTCTCTCCTTTAGTATCAGAACATTCAAACATTTGACCTTCAGGAGAAACTTCAGGTCATTTGGCTTCACATATTTGGCTTTGACAGAGAAGGCACCTCTCTGCCAATGAGTCCCACCAGCTCTGAACTTGTGTGGTCCAGTACTGCTGTACAAAAGTGCCACGTTTTACCCTCATTTTGCATAGTTACACAAGGAAGAAAGACAGTAGAAAATAAGATCCATCATCTCTCAGATTCTGCTTAATAAGTTAGGAATGTGGCAAAAAAACCCCAACAAACCAAACCCAACCCATGAAAAAACCCAAACAACCCTGAAATCTGGAAGATCTGAAATCAGTCTTATAAAATCTTTTATAAAGTTAGCAATACTCTTCTACTGTGCAAAATTCACAAGAAAGTCAGTGCTGCTACCTGCGAAAGCTCTGAAGTCAATATTCATATTCTGTAGGTAAAGGTACACTCAACCTAACTCCAATCCTTCCTTAATTCTTTAATTCTGTAAGGTACATTTATGTTCAGAATCTATTTACTTAGAGAATCAAATTTCTGTAAGTGGTATTAGGCATGTAGATCTGGACCTAAGGAAGGAGAAATGGTAATTAAACACCACTGGCAACTCACCTTTGCAGTATGTTTTACTAAAGAAACAACATCTGAATTTGATGCAATGAGGACTGGAAAATGGCACAAGAATAACATTTCATGCCTACAAATAACATGTGCTGAAGGCATAGACTCCATCAATCTTTGTTCCTT